AGTAGTAGTAATGGTAGCAGCAGTAGTAGTAGTAGTAGCAGCAGTTCTCGCAGGGCTCAGGGGCCGGCAAAGCTGGTGAAGCGATTGTCGCCTTGAAGCTCAGCTTGCAGCACGTCGTCAAAGGACTCCCACATGAACTTCATGGAAGCCTACAGGGTTTTAGGGTTTAGGGTTTTAGGGTTTAGGGTTTTAGGGTTTAGGGTTTTAGGGTTTAGGGTTTTAGGGTTTAGGGTTTTGGGGTTTGAGGGGTTAGGGTTTTAGGGTTTAGGGTACTACAGTGGGCAGTTCTCTAAATTAGGGTCCCTGTTGGGGTCCTTTTTATAAGGCTGCCGTACCCACACAAAGGGACCCTGGTTTAGAGAACTACCCTAGTAGCACGAAGAGACTTCTTAGGGCCCCTCCACAGCGTTTAGGGTTTAGGGTTTAGGGTTTAGGCGGTACTCTCTATGAGAGAAAATGAGAGTGGCACGACACAGTGCCTCCATCTTCTGGCACCCGCGGCGGCTGACCAGATAGCCCCACACTCCACAACAACCCGTGGAAAGCAGATCTTCGCCTGTCATTGCCCGAGATCCAATAGAATAGAGGAAGTATGTGCTCTCCTGGCATAAGGTGGGCTTGTAACCATAGAGCTCCGCCATGTACTCCTCCTCGCTCGACCTGCTCGCCGAGCAAGGATGTCTCAGCTGCATGACCTTGCGGCGCTGTGCATACTGCAAGCTCCGCAAGCGCCAATCTAAAGGACCCAAGATGACGACATCCAGAAGATCACCAGCAGAATCCAGGATGTCTCTCAAGACGCCACTGAAGTCAGGACTCAGAACCTGGTCATCCTCGAGCACGACCACGAAGGGAGATCCTTCCTCAAAGCCCTGGCGCAAAGCCCGCACGTGTGACAACCAAGATCCGGCGTAGCCCACGTAGTGCCTCTCTTGGTCAGCAGTCAACGCCACACCAATGCCGGGTCGAGCCTCGTCCCAGCGCAAGGCGAAGCTTGTCAAGTCCCTGGTGTATGGCTCACATTTGCTGCGTCGCACCACGCGATGCCGGCCATCCGTCGCCGCAAAGCGCCGCGCGCGCAGGTCGCAGCGCTGCACCTCTCGCCTCATCTCCTCGAGCCTGACTTGGCAAACTCAGGAAAAAAATCAACTCAATGCCACTGCCTTTAAGGCCGCGGGACAACGTGCCGTGCCGTGCCTGTGTGGGCTGCGGTCTAGATTCACGACGAAAACGGGAATGTCCGGCCCAGACTTTGCCAAAGAACTCGCCTTTGAAAGGCCTGTCTCTTCCTGGAAAGGTAGCTCCTCCGTCACTTTGTGGTAGAGCTGCTCTGCAGCAGCACGGAACTGCTTGAGCAATCCCTCCTTAAGTGCGAAAAGAGAGAACCAAGAAAATGCTCTACACATCTCGACACGTTTGCCGGCCGAGTGGCTGTTTCTGTTTCAGCCGAGTGGCTACAAGGGGCCTTCTCGCATGAGCCGCGGCCAAAGCCATCCGCGCCAATGCTCGGGGCGACAGCCCCAGGCCTGGCTCTGAAATCTTTCTCGTGCCTTTGACTCCGCTCCACTACTCACTGTGAAGAGCCGTTTTTGGTACCTACAAGTACCATAGTATGCCACAGTAGCTAGGCACACTGCATTTCGAGCTTCATGCAAGTTTTCGAATTACGACAGGGGCTTTTCGGGTGTCCTTAGACTCGCCGGCCTGCAGGAAGGTCTTCAATGCCTCGGACGCATGGATCCTTCGGGACGTCCTGCCAGCAGTGATTTCAGGAAACGAGAGAATCAGCCAGACTCTCAAGGGCAGAGTCACATAGGAGTAGTGAGTAGTGCAAGCATGACAAGCATCCTCTGCCCGCCCACAGCTCTGGCGACACTCATCGCAGAATTCTCCTCGCACAAGACAGCGCGAGACATGGCTGACGCTTTATACAGGGGTCTACCTTCCTGCGGAACATACCTCGTGCCAAGAAACGAGATGCATCTTCGGACTTCCAGAGCCGGGGCGCAAGCCGCCAGCAGGAGAAACAGCATCGCTGAGGCCGCGCACCCCCGTCCAAGAGCCCAAAGTCCTCCTCCCGGGCATCCACGGAAACGCCCTCCAGCCAGATGCGCCAGCGGCCCGTAACCAGGCAGAACTCTCCCAGTAAACCAACGCTGCCACAAGGCACCGACCCCAAAGCTCTCCGCAAAACCACCGCAGATCCAGGGCTTGGCACGGGAGGACCTGCTCGACCCTGCAGACGATGACCGGCTTCCGTCAGAAATGCATCCATGAGATCCTGCTGCTCTGGCGCACAGGACAATGAAACAACCAAGTCAGCCAGATCTTCCATGGAAAGCCCATCGAGACGCGATGTTGCATTGCGGTTGACGGAGAGGAGGGCCTGCAGTAGACCAAGGCCACCCTTCGTCAGCTGCATCAAATCCGCCAGTGCCAGAGCTACTCGGGGCAGCGACCTGGTCGGAAGCTCTTGGGGAAGGTCCCTCAAGTGCCAGGCGAAGTGGTCGGCGAGTTCCAGCAGCCTGGCACCCAAGATATCGTAAACACACGGCTGGGCCAGCCCACACAGGAGCCCAGCAAGTGCATCGGGTGCTTTGTCCGGAATGTCCTGTAAAGACTCCAAGGAATGAAGGAGCTCCTCGTTCAGAGCCTTGGCTGTCAGAAACACCCAGAACAGCTCCGCGGCCGCAGCCATTTCGCCCCTGGCAGCCCTCGTGCGGACCATGGCAGCCGCCTCCGCGCAGCGCTGGTCCAGCGCTCCGTCGCCATGCGCGAGGCCGATGAGCTGCAGCTCTGCGGCCAGAGAAACCCAGTCGGAGTTATGACAGGGCTGGGCATCCTTGGCTAAGCTTCGCAGAAGCAGCCGAAGCAGGTTCTTGAAGTCGAAGGGCGTCCGCAGTTGCACTTGAGCGATGGCAATCATCGTCCTGGCATGCAGCCAGGCTGCGCATTCTCCCGCCAGATCGCACAGGGCTCTCAGATTCTGCGGCACTTCATTCGCATCCGCTGCCGCAGCGAAGGCCACAGCAACGGAGCTCGTTAAAGTCTCCGATGACGCAGCTGCTTCAAGCTTCCACTCCGGCCAGAGACTTCCCCAGGGCCCTTCTTTGGGGTCTTCTTTCTGGGTCCCTCCCTGGTCTCCACAGGGCATCCTGATCTGGAAGTCAAGTCGCAAGGCTGCAAGAGACGGCCTCCTTCGAGGATGAGGAACCTGGAGCTGCGCTTCTGAGCCTCATCAAGGGCCCCAGCCACCCGAACGGCCTGGGCGCGGGCGCATGGCTTCATCCACGTACCGCTCCGAAGCTCTGCACAATGTCACGTCGCTTCCGACAAGCTCCGGGACCAAATGCCACCCTTTTGAAATCACCCTCTTAAACCTATAAGGCTATAAGGCTTTAAAGTATAGTTTTCAAGGGGCCTCAACTCTACCTCTGGCATCTGGCTTGCCTATGTTTATTTCGAGAAGCAGTCGCGACTACAATGTGATGCGGACCAATCTCGTCTCGCATCGACGGCCATATGCTTATGTCAGTGTAGAATGTCGAAAGTTCCCATGCAAACCAGCTTCATTCTTGCAATCTTCACAGCACGAAAGCCACTGGCTGCGGCACGTGTCATGCGTCAACAATGAAAGACACTTGTTTCCGTGGGGCTCACTGGAGAAATCCAGTAATTCAAGTCTGCTTCTCGCCTGCCCAGGGAGTTCCTGCCATCAGCAGTCCCAAGGCGTGTGCACAGTAGCAAGGGGCCAACACTGCTCTCAGCAACAGGCCTTCCCAAGCACCGCGGCATGCGTAATTGCATCCTCGGCTGTTCGGAACTGTTGCAGCCGAGCTTGTGATCCAAATGCATCGGAGAGCTGGGGTGGCCATAAGCAAAAGCTAAGTTCGCCATCTTAGTTTCATGCCGGGCTGCATCTGCAAGGTTCAAAGCATCGTCTGCGCGCTTGTTTGGAGGTGCCTGGTGGCCGACAGGTTGGTCCCGCAGGCGGAGATGTGTACTTCTACGAACAAGGTCTGCGAGGCAACAGGGCCAAAGGCCAGGACAAAAAGGAAACTACTGTATTACTATTACTATTACCATTATCATTATTGGCATTGCCTAGGATCCTTAGCTTGCTCACTAGTGTCGACTCCAAACCATCCTGTCACAGAACCATAAGCAGAGCAAGCATGGACAGAACTCCACAGTGTCGACTCTCCTGGGGTGGCGAGCGTAGCTTGCGACGAATTGAGCTTGAGCCAGAAGCCAAGAGCCTCTCTCCAAACTGTATGTCGATGGCTATAGGAACGCAGCCTACACGAAACCATGACGACTATATCCCAAGACCGTCAACTATCCCATGTGGCCCAAACACCAAGCAAAATTTGAATCCGGTTTGAAGGAGGTTACAGCTACCAGTACATCTTAAATCGTCGTACAAAGCCTAACGACCAGAACGAGCTGTCCCCAATGAAGACCAGTGACGGCACGATTTGAGTCTTAGAGGCCCGGGCCGCATGTCCGTCGAGAGGACCTGGTGGTTCCTGCAATCGCGTTACACGGAAGAGGGGTTTTTTGCCTCCTACTTACCACGGACGAGCCCGCATTGCAGGGTAATGGAAGAGGGGTTTACGGTTTAGGGTTTAGGAGCCTTCAATCGGCTCATGCCGCGCCTCAGGCGGCTTGTCCGGATCAAGCTCTCCGCGATCCTTACCTGAAGCATGCCACGGCTACGACCTTCTCACAGGCCTAGAAGGGGACCTAGACTTACACTTCTGACGGGAGTTGAGTGCGAAAAGCTGGCGATAAGCCGGTGCTTGTCTTGTCCGGCTTGACTCTCTGACCGTGACTTTGTCAACGCTTTCTTAGAACCGCCGCAGCTTCCAACAGGTCAGTCAGCCAGCTTGGACTACAACGACCTCAGATCTGGGAAGCTGCTGGTCAATGTCTAGTGAGTCTAGTAGCTTGGGCCGGTGCCATTGACCTGGTCACCTGCTCCACAGCAGCATGCCCTCAGTGCAAGCTCGGTTTTCGCAGAAACACCTCTGGATGTGGGGGTTTCAGAAAATAGGGGACCCTGATAAAGTATCCTAAATAGTAGGATCCTTATTATAAGGACCCAAAATAAGGCACCCCTTATTTCGGAAACTCCCATGCTCTACTCCTTGCTCTCTGAGCTCTGCGCGTGCAGAACATTTGCCTGCTGCACTCTTGGCGGTCTCGTGCCTGCAGAGCGGCAGAGCATCCCTGGAGCCTACAGACGAGCATCATTATTACTATTATTATCATTATTATTTTCTATATATATATATATATACTTGCCATACACGATTATACATCTTTGTATAGCATTATGTATTATATTTTACCCCTGAAGCCCAGAAGCCGAGGCCGTGGCCTCCAAGGTGCCGTGCACCAAGGAGCGTTTTGCCCCCACTCGACTCCCGGAGAGGGCTCCGGAAGTCAAGGCTTTGAGAAAATGCGGAAGAATGCGCACGGGTGACTACACGGGAGCAATAGGACCTAAAGAACAAACAGTGTGAACCCGACAAGCCAACTCCGCGACCTAAATTAATCCTTCATACATCTCCTCCAAAAGTCAACAGAAAATCAAACACCCTGAACCACGGTACTATTAGGTGGATGTTTCAAGGTTTTTTGGGGGTCGTCTTTCCGACAACTCGCCGGGACGAATCCGCAAGCATGTAGTCCACCGTTCTGAACAATTCAGACAACAGCAACAACGACTTCCCTCAACCAACCCAACCTATCCGAAGCAAACCTAAGGCAGCCCAACCTAGGCCCAATCCCAAACTAACCTCAACAAAAACCCTGACCCAACCCATTCTAGCCGACTCAAGCTCAGCCCTGACCCACGCAATGTGGCCGAGACCAAGACCCTGACCCAAGCTACTACCCTAAACTCCGAGCCATAAGAGCCTAAACCGCACGCCCAGCAGTTGGTCTGCCAGACATGATGCATTCATAGGAGATGATTTTGACATGGTTACTGATTTCTTGTTCTCCATTCTTGTTATCGGGGTAAGCAGGGCTCCAAATCTTTGAGTCCTTTGGGCTTTGTGGTTGACCCTCTCACAACTCGGACTTGCGGGCGAGGTTCCATGGTGGCAGGTCGGCGTGATACAGTTCACTACCAGTAGCTGCCTTGCCCTTTTGTGTTTTAGGGTTTATGGTCCAGGGCAGTTTAGCAGCGGCGCTCTGAGAATGCAGTGAGGCTCCAAGGCTTCTGCGAAAAGAGAAAAGACGGCGAAGGGCGGGAGGGAAATGTATTTAGGGTAGCCCTTACACAACAAACATGGAGGCATTTTTATATATATATATATATATACACACATACATACACACGCACACACATACACACACGCTTGCTATACAATATAAAATATACCCCACGTCCAGTGACTGGCATGTCACTTCTTTACAGCTGTTAACCGGTGGCAAGAGTTGCGCTGACGGTTTTTCTTCGCGAGTAAGACGCCAAGTCGTTTGGCGGTGGTCCGTTCGCTTTGGACACGGCAGCCTCGACAGTGTCAAATGTGAGTTCCTGTGCAAAGGCCATAGCAATACGAACCACTCTATTCGTTTTGAAGCTACTTCAACTACCATGCACCCCCACTGTCGATGTGCTGCCAGCAAGAGACGCAGGCGGCGCCTGGATCGGAACGGAAGAGACCTTCCATTCAGCTCCTGCAGTGCACACAACGAGCAAGTTGCGACAAGCCGTTCAGCTGTGCCCTCAAGAAGCGTGCGTGGCTCACCTCTTCACGGTACTATCAATAAACACACGCGAAGGAGCAGTCAACACACAGCACCACGGAGCAGCGCATTCAGCTTGTGCCCGAGCCTGATGGTCTGGCCGATGATCGGGCAGAGCCGTTGACAGGTGCCCTTGCTGCAGCTGCTCGGGCTCCAACAACTTCTGCAAACTTTCAACATGCGCCGTGCCCAGGGCGGTGTGCCTGTGCGGCCTCTCGGCCATGGGCGGTGGCGGCAGTGGGGGCAGCTCCAACTCCTCCGTCGTAGCAGGGCACACTCCTCTCCCTCTCGAATCGGCCTCTTGGAGCTCGAAATCTTTGCCTCGAGACAGTCCGAATCCAAATCCGAATGGACTGCGGCTCCTCAGCCGCTACTGGCGAGTACCAGAATTTCTCGGCATCAGAACCTGCAGCCAGCAGCTGCCAGTGCCATCAGAGGCCGAGGCTCAGCTCCATTGCTGAGCTCCCTGCCACAAGAATCTGCTGCATAGTCGGACTCCGGCCCCTGTCGAAGAGGCTCGTACCAATTCAATTCACCTGTCACCAGAAGTTTCTGGGCCACGTGGAGCATTCAAGGCTGTGGCTGCACGGGCACATGCCCTCTCGCTTGAGGATCCGGCTCTCCGGCCTTGGCGCCGAGTGCAATCCAGCGGTCTTTGGGCTTCATGCTATACTCGGAAGGAAGGTACAGTACATTGTGCAGTCTTTTTCCATGGCGCCACACCATGAAGTCTTGCGGATGCTCTTGCAATGCATCTCAATCCATGTCCTCGAGATCCTGAGAGACATCGAGATGAGATGGTGGCTCCTGACATGCTCGTGGAACTCCGACAGTCCCTCTTTGCTCTGAGGCAACATGCATGGGGAGATCAGCCTGAATCCGACTCTGCCATCCTCCAAATCCAGCCCTGCAATCTCCTCCATCTCCAGGCCCTTCTCGGCACGAGCTGCCACCTGCTCAATCGCACGGCCTCGACGTTTGACAAACTGCGGCTTCCTTCACCATATGTATATATATATATATATATGTGCAAATGCAATGTGAGAAAAAAACAACCTTTGCTCAGCCTGCAACTAAACTCAGCCACTCCACGCCACTCTGTAGATAGCCGCTCCAGCCGCGCAGCCGCCAAGCGCCCCCAGGCGCCCGGGCCGCAGGCACCGGCAGCCACTCTCAAGCTCTCCTCTGGCTGTTCCACAGGATGGCCCACTACAAGCATCAACCGCGGCCCAAAAGCTGGGCAACTGTCCAAGTTTCAACTCTTTTCATCTCTTTTCAACCCACCCAGTATCCAATTTGAGTACGGGTTAGAACCCATACGCAGAAGTCTCAAACTCCTCGAGCGGTGCCCTCCTCCAGCAGTTCTCGCCATCGCTCAGAGCCGCTTGCGACGGCTGCCAGCGCTGCCTCTGCCGCCGCTGCTGCGTGGCTAGGGGACCTCCGGGAAAGTGCTGCGGGTTGCTACGATGGCAGACGGCTGTTGATGCGACACCGACCGGAAGGGTGTAGCTGCTTTCGAAAGTATAGATAGGCCCAGATAGGCAAACCCATTTTCGACATCACCTGTTTACATCTGTTGCAAAGACTGACCTCAGCAAACAGCAGCTGCAGTCTACTTCTGACCAGCTATTCCAACTATTCTTTCTGTAGGGCTCCGTCGTGGATAGTGAGGACTTCACTAAGGCTCCGAAGCTTCTGCAGCTCCATGGTTTTGCAAACGGTGCTTCCGCTTGCAAGCGACAATGGCTGCAGCTCCGCATTGACCCGGCGAACTGCCTTAGATTGCTTCTCTGGCTTGTAGACTCCGCACAAGTGACAAACATCCTCTCTGCAGCTCCTACTGCCAGTGAACTCGAGCGCAGCTTCCACGACAGCTTCCATAGGCTACACAAAACGCATCGCGCAGCCGGGTGTCCAGCCACAACTCCAAAGCCTCGGCGTGCCGCGCAGCCTCCTGTCATCTTCAGCGTTCCCCGGAACTTCATCGAATCAGCTCGTGTACGTGGCACCCTGTCCTGCAAACCGAAAGCCAGCTCCCACGCAGGCGCGACCCAGTAGGAGCCCAGAAGGAGATTCAGCAAAGCCTCGGAAAGAGTTACGCATCGCAATCAACACGCATCGGGGGTCTTGATGGATGAAAGAAGGCTCCGTCCAAGTCCCAGGAGTCGCCAAGGGGCCGATGCGGCTCGGGCGCTTTCGCTGTGAGTGTCCAGCTCCGGATGCTCCAGGTTTTCACAGCCCAGGGCAGCCCGATAGACTTAGCAGTTGCGGCGCTCGAAATCGAGACACAACATATAGAAGGAAAAGTGGCAGCCTTGGCAGAAAGTAGTAAAAGTAAACTAAGTAGCAGCAGAAGCAGCAGCAGCAGCAGGAGTAGTAGTAGTAGTAGTAGCAGCAGCAGCAGCAGTAGTGGTGGGCTCCTTGCGACCAAAGAAGCCCAAAGCTTCTCCCTGAAAATCTTCTTCCTTGGTTGCAAACTGGGAGTTATGGTTTAGGGTTTAGGGTTTAGTCCCAGCATCGTATAATGGGAGTTTTTTTTGACACTCACACTCGGACAAGCCTGGCAAGGTCCACTACGATACTGTCTTCAAGAAACGTTAACAGACGCAACAAAGTAGGTATAATTGGAGTTATGGTTTAGGGTTTCAGCACGCACAGCTGGGACAAGTCTGGCCAGGTTCCGGGTACGCGACGACGGCAAGGGCTTAGGGTTTACACTCACAACTCGGACAATCCGTTTTGGTTAGGTGGTTACCATGGGGTGCTTAAAGACCGCACTCAAGGATGTCACTCACCAACAGAGATGCGGGTGGATGAATCTTTCGGATCTTTGTGCCGCCGTGTCTCGGCCCCAGTTTGCAAAAACCTCCGGAAGACTTTCCCTGTACATTCGGCAGCATCTGCAACCATCTCCCGCAACTCCTGGCGACTTTGAGCAGATCGTGGCTGACTGGCGAATGCCAACGGTCCCCAGCAGCATCAAACCCAATCGCTCTGCACGCGGCAGGTCCGGCTTCGGACTGTACTTCAATCGCCCAAATCCTTCTGTAAACCCGATTGCTCGTTCTTCAGCGAGATTTCAACACAGAAGCGGAGGGTCTGTTGTAAGCTTTGCTGCATGGATGATACGATGAGCCCAGCCATGCTCCGGATGAGGGCACATAAAGTTGAGGACTTATCTGCGGCAAAGAAACCTTTAGCTGGTTAATTTAGGGTTTAGGGTTTTTTTTCCCACCCGCTTCGCTGACTAGGTCGCACTGCAGGGAACAAAGCTTCGAGAGTCGTTCGAACGTGTTTGCAAGTCCCGGGGCAAAACAACCTCTTCGTAGTAAGGACCGAGTAGGCTACACAAGAAGAGGATGCCTGCGCCGAACTCACCTGTGCTCGCAGCTTTCCGAAGGAGTCCGCACTAGCCCGAACAGACACCGATACCCAAGACGGACCCCAATTCAGAAACCCGCGTACTTTGTACAAGAGAAAGTCGCCTGGATTGCAAGGGCTCAACTCCTAAACAGGAACAAAACCAGTAAAACCGCAGAAACAAAACCTCAATAACAGAAGGCGGAGTATAAGCAACTACGAGACTGGCGGTGCAGGGCATTGACTGCATAAATACTACTCGCCGTATGGCACATGCAAAGACATGCTACCTCTGAATTGAAATAATCCCCTTCAAAAGACTACATGCAACTGTGAAAATACAAATTACATTGTCATCGACATGCACAGCAACTCCAAATTCCGAATCCCGAATTCCCAAATTCTTGAATTCCCTCTTGGCTCACTCGGGGAGGGCTGCAACTTGCAACTGGTTTCATTTGCTTCCCTGCGTTCTGTCTCCAGCGAATCAGTAGTTCGCTTTTGACAAAACGCAGGGTCTCAGCTCAGCCAGCATTGGAGGTCCCCACGTCCATGGAGTCGATCCAGTCCCGCTTTTTTTTTTTTGCCAGACCAGTGTCTCGTCCAACGGTGCGCAGATCCGACTCCATCTGCTCGACGCACTGCCATGCCCCCAGAAATGTCAAGTAGCACAGCCCCGCTGGGAGGGAGATATGCGCTTGATACTGCACTCCCGAAACAGAGGCCCATGTAGAGCAGCTGTATTCGTAGGCTCAGCTGAATGCAGCTGATACTCTACTCCAAGTTCAGTTGTTCAGCTGGACCATGTATTGTCGAAAGCAGACAAGCGCAGCCAGACAGGCATATGTCCCCCTCTTTTGGCCACTAACCGGCCAATGCAGAGTTGACCGTCAACTGCAGTCTGCAGGGATGCAGAGCCACCTCCATCATCATGGGTCGGCTCCATATATCTGTAGCGCCGATGGTGCAACACAGATGTTCGAGCGCTTGTATTGGCCGTGTTTGTGGCCCCAGAGCTTCGAAAGAATTCACATCGGGGTGCATCTCCAGGTACCCCTACTGTCCGCCAGCAGATTGAAAGCAGTGGGTGCAAGACGATTGTTCGAGCACCTGCATCGGCCGCGTTGGTGGTCACCGAGCTTAGCAAGGGTTCGCATCGGGATGTATCTCCAGGTGCTTCCACTGTCTGCCATCGGATGTAAAAAGTCAGAGGCAACGCCCATGGCATCTATCTGAGGCAAGGCTCCATGGCGACTGCGTGGACAGAGACGGGAGGGGGAGGAGACAGAGAGGGAGTAAACCAGACGACAGACCACCCTCAAGTCATCAAATCAGCAAAGGCATCAAACATCAAATTCATCAGTTCATCAAATTCAAAGTGAGATTCGTGAATTCCGAATACAACGATAGCGAGAAATAACGCAAATTAATGAATTAACACCATGCAGTAAGAGTCGCGTACGACGACGACGGTGTGCAGGCTGGTGTGAATTCCTAATTAGACGACTCCATACTTCAGAAAAACCCAAGGGCCCCGATCTTTAGAGCGGGCATGAGAGTCTTGCACTCTCGGGCTCGCTATCCTCGTCAGAGGAGACTGCGAAGGTTTCACTCTCCTCCAAAGGCCTTTTGCAGTGGGACCTAGGTTGCTCGTCCAGCTGTGTCAGAACTCCAAGCTGCCTTAAGGTTCTGTGACCATAGAAGGTCGAGTGGCGCAGGAGTTTGACCTGCGGGTGTGCCAAGGGGGGCACAAAGCCTAAAGCGGCCAGCTTGTCACAGAAGGCCAGTGCAGCCTGTTCCGACAGCTGAGGCACAAAAGCTGTCAGGATCCTACGCTCAGGCCCCGACCATCTCTCAGTCCCATGCAAAAGTGATCGGGACGAGAAAAGGATTGGCCGAAAGCGAATGTCATGAAACTCCCCTGGGGTGCGGTCAGTGGGGCAGCTGCCCTGCGTCCACCCTTGAATTCTCCCTTCAGGGCACTCAATCCAAAGTCGACCTCCAGAGAAATCTGAAAGCCCAACAATTAGACTAGGGGCAAAGGAATTACGCAAGTCCCTATGGCAACCTCTACCCGGTCCTGTCCTGACTGAGACTGCAGTAAAGGGCACGTCCTCAGGAGTGTTCGCTCTCACGAACGCCGCAAGCGCCTGTGTAAACTCAGGCTCCTTCTCAGTCAAGCGTGTGGTTGCGTTCGTGAGCCTGGGGTTTTGGCCTACTATTATAAAGAGGTTACGCCCCTCGTCGGAGTCCCAGAATTTGCGGGGCACATGGGTCGTGAGAGTAGCAATAGCCCTACACTGAGCCTCTAGATCTGTTTCCAGAAAGGAACTCAGGAACTGCAGCGACAAATTCCTGAGCGAAATCCTAGCATCATCAACAGGGGGGTCAGTCATGACTGGGGAGCTGACGAGCCTAAAACTTCGGGCAGAAATGTACAGTTATGACAGCGAGGGGCACAGTTTGTGATAAGGCAACTGCGTGAAAGAATCAAGTTGCAGCAACAGGGGGAAGGACCAGTTGATCAGGTGCGAGACATTTCCATGTGTTGTTTTTTTTTGTGGGGGATCAAGGTTGAGGAGGATTCGGGGGTGAGGGAAGTGACAGTATGAAGTAAAAGAAATAGGAACAACTGGAATGTAAGATCGGGTCAGAACTTAAAGAGGTACAGCAGTCGCAGCTCACTACGGGGTTGCTGGGCGTAGGGGAGCAACTAGGTTTACAGGTCAGTGTCGCTCGACCTTATTTTACACGCAAAAACGTCCTTGCAGAGAGACTGTCATTATGAATTAAATGCAGGATGGAATTATACATGCTGGACTTGCAGAAAGGGCCCGTTCAAAGGCAGCAAAGCCAATGAAACCAAAATGGACAAGGGCCTGGCGGTAAGTCCGTGCAGGGGATTCGGGTCTGCGCAGCAAGATCAGTTGTTTGTCAAAAGGCACACCAACAAAAATAAACAAAACGATAGCCAATAACAGAATGGAAACCAGACTCAATGCTGCGGGAAAGGACTGGCCCCGAGAGCCTGCACAAGATACGCGAGGGCCTCCTGCGCTCTTGGGTCGCTGGCCAAAGGCCCACCCCATCGCACTGGCAGAATGGCCGGCGGCAGGCTACTGAACAGTGAGACATTCTGTCTCGGTAGGGCTTCTCTCAGGTTCAGTACAGGTGGCTCAGGCTGTGGCTGTGGTGCAGGCGGTGGTTGGTCCTGCGTAGCCGGTGCTGACGGCGTCGACGAGGCACCTTCTCTATGGCCCGCCAAGGAGCCAGGCAGGGGCGGCGGCGGCGCTTTCTGAGGCATTGGCGGTGTGAGCCGACCAATGATCTTGTCGAGCTGCCCTTGTACCTTCAGCAGCACCTGCTGAACTCGCTCACTTGCATCAGCCAGATCACAGAGTTTGCTATCATGGCTTTTGTGGGCATTGGTGTGGTCCCACACAATGTGGGAGATCTGGTCAACGTTCTGCTCCAGCTTGTCCACTTTGTCTGCGTGTACCAGGGGCGCAAGGGCCCCCATGACATCGCCTTTAAGCGACTGCAGGAGCGCTTGGGTCTGCTTGAGCGCCGTTAGCACAGACTGGTTAGCTGCGCCATCATTGACCTTGGAGTCCTTCACCAAGTCCCGGATCTCACCGCAGACTGCCAAAGTGGCAGCCGTGCAGTCTTTGATGACCTGGGCGTGTTCCTGGCTGTTGATGTCCCCCTGGGCCGTGATCTCCACTTGTAGGCCGTTCAGGACTCCAACAGTCGAGTCCAAGCGAGTTTGCAACTCGCTGACCATCCAGGATTGCTGTGATCCCTGAGCCAGGTCGTGGATCTGTTGCACCGAATTCTGAATTTGCTTGCAAAATTTGTCTCTCTGCGAGTCTGCGTTGGCGTCCAACGCTTGCGGCATCTGCTGCCACAGGCGTTCTTCGAGGGCTGACACCGACTGGTCGATGTACTGCTGCAACTTGTCCTCCAACTTGTCCAAGCGAGCAGAAACCAGAGCACCGATTTCCGCCTGCAGTGGGTTCAGGAGGTCAGTGAACCCATCATTCACCGACGCCATCATTGTTTGGAAGGCACGCACCCTGTTGCGGGCCCATCGGCTGTAGGTCCAAGCCATCACTGCAATCACGACTGCCGCGGCCACCGCCCAAAGGGCGGGGGACTTCCAGCCGCCCCCCACAACAAGCTGGGCATCCAAAAGCAGAGGCACAAAGGCGTCCATTGTCGGATGCGGATAGATATGGATTACACTACTTGAGCTGGGTAAGCTGCCAAACGAGAACGAGGCTACCGGAAACGACGACAAAAGGGAAAGGGGGGCGAGGTACTACACGAACGACGCCCTACCTCTAGCTGCAACGGGAGGCATACAGGGGAAGAGTGGTCGATTGCAAAGCCAGCAGGCAACTGACAGCAGTCTTGCGCAGTCGAGCTAAGACAACAACTTGAAGCGTAACAGCCCCCCGAGACACCCTCAGCAACAGGAGTTCTAGATTTCAGCCAATGCATAAATCGAAGACGTCACCTTCCAGACTTACGCGCCAAAGCCCTGAACACCTGACAAGAAAATTCCAAAGTGGGACAATGTTGCAAGGCGGCTTTCAGTCGTGTGTGAGGGCACGTCAACGCTGGGGGCCAGGGTGCTACCATGTACTATCGTGAGTACTGAGATAACTGTCGTTTTGCCGGGAAGAGCGGGCGGCGGCAGCTGCAGGAAGACCCAAACCCAGCAAAATGGGGTGCAGGACATGCAAGATGCGACACTTGTCTAATTAAGTATAAATTACAAATTTACAAAAGTACATGCATTACAGCGGGAATTCGCAGTCGTTCAACCAGCCACTCGAACGAGAGTGCCATCATCCAGGGTAACCCAGTGTGCCGACCCCGACGCCGGCTCATTGTCCTGAGGCAACGTGTCGCCATCCACGGGTGGCGGCGGGGGCAGGGTCTCGTCTGCCGTGCCAGTGGTTGG